GAATCAAGAACACAGCAACAGTGTTTTGAGATTGCAGACGTAGAAAATCACTTACTTGAGTGCTAGGAGTCAAACCTAGGTGTCTCACATGGTAGGCAAGTGCTCTGTGGTGGTTTGAGTAGGTATGCTCCCCCCCTCCCCCAGACTCACATGTTTGAATGCTTGACCCATAGAGACTGGCACCATTAGGAAGTAAGTGTGATCCTGTTGGGGTATGTGTGGTCTTGTTGGAGGAAGTATGTCACGGGGGGTGGGGGGCAGGCTTTGAGGTGTCCTGTGCTCACACTATGCTCAGTGTGGCACACAGTCTCCTTCTGCTGCCGATCTTCAAAATGTAGAACTCTCAGTTCCTCCACATCTGCGTCAGCTCCTCTCATGTCTGCCGGTGTGCCATTGTGCTTCCCACCATGATGATTATGGACTAAATCTCTGAAACTATAAACCAACCCTAATTAAATGTTTGCCTTTATAGGAATTGCTTTGGTCATTGGTGTCTCTTCACAGCAATCAAACCCAAACTAAGACCCACTCTTCACTGATTTACACTCCCAGTCCAGTGGTGAATATTTGATTGCTGAGGAATTGCCATAGTGGTGAGCAAAATCTGAAATTTTCAATACCCGAGTTGCACTGGCATTTATTTGATTTTGCAGTATCAGGAACTAAACCCAAGGCTTTGCACATGCTAGAAAGAGGTCTATCGCTAAGCTACGTTCTTCATCCTTAAGAAATGATGTCTGTTCTTTTTTTTTTTCTTCTTCAAGTCCTTCTTGTTTGTCTTTCTGTTGAAGTGGAACTGTGGTAAGTGGAGAGGCTGGGGATAGGGTTGCTGAGTTGATGGGACAGTTGCCTTGTATCTGCAAGACCATGGGTCCAATATCCCTCCCTAGACTACACATGCACACCAAACGCACATACACATGCATGCACGCACGCATGATCAGCAAGCTGCATAGGCTGATGATTGATGGTTTTCAGTGTCTTTATAAAAGTAAAGGCTACAGGATTTCCATAATATTCTGCCTTTTCTTCTGTTCTTTGCCTCTGAGGAATGCCTCCTCAGTCCAGCTGGAAGTGCTTTGATTTGTGACTGTTTTTGAAATGCTTGCACTAGTAAAATGCTTGCATCTAGTATGCTCCAGGCATTGCTGGAGAGGTGGGAGTTACAGAGAGAAGGGCAGTAGCCAGGATCCACTGCTCCGGCCCTCCTCTTTGTTTTATGTACTGTAGTACTTAGATGATTATCGAAAGACCTGCTGGATTTCAGTGTTGTCTTCTGAAACAGCACAAGAATGTGGCGCACAAGTTTTTGCAGCCCTCAGACCTTTGTTGTAAGTGCCACAAAAGCAGCCCCACATTAACGGGTTAGGAGCTGGCTCCTAAGCCCACACCTTCTGAAACAATGTTCTTTATTGAGGTCCACCACTTCCTGAAGGCTTATTAGAAATGCAGAATTCCAGGTACTAACTGTGTAGGAATCTGTCTCAACAGAAATTCTTACTGCTTTGCTTTGCACTTTGAAGTTTGAGAGGCCCACAGCAATCTAACCCAGCCTCCTGGGCTTCCCCTCATGTTAAAGAACGCAGGTCAGATGTGCCAGTCAGCCTCAGGATGTTGCAGGCCCATGTGGACCATCCAGGAGTGTTTGGGGAACAAGAGGATGCCTGCAGTGTGCGTCTGGCTCCCACCCTGATTCTCGAGTCACGTGCTCTCTCTGTCTGCATGCTCTGTCCTCTCTGACGTTTGCCTTCTGCCGAAGCATCTCCTTAGAACTCAGTCCAGCACCGTTTCCACTTCCTCCTAAGCCACCTCATCCACACCAGATCTCAGCTCTAGAGAACAAAGCTGAGTTTCTGAGTAAGCCTCCAGCTTTGAGAATCACCACCCGTTGTCTCGCCCAACCCATGTGTATATGGATTTGCTACCTGCATATATGTGTACATCCTGTGTGCATGGCTGGTGACCGCAGAGGCCAGAAGAGGGCGTCAGATCCCCTGGAACTGGAAGTACAGGTGGTTGTGAGCCACCATAGAGGTGCTGACAACCCATCCAGAGTCCTCTGAGACAGCAGCTGGTGCTCTTAAGCACTGAGCCATCTCTCTGGCCACGCTTCATTTTTGGTAGCAATACTATAATTGGTTTTCATAGGACCCAATGTAATTAACAACAGGTACACTTCATGTCATCATGCAGTTTGTTCTTCATTCTCTATATGTTTATTCTGCCTGATGCTTAATTGTAGAATGAGTAGGAAAGACCACAAGAACCTCATACACACACTTGTATGTATTTGGCTCATAGTGTTGTTACTGTCATTTACATCAGTGTATTGGTTAATAATGTGTCCCTTTAAACCTAAACTATCCCAGAGCTGTTTTCCCCCAGCAGGCACTCTAATGTGTGACTGTGTCTGTCCTGTCCCTAACCCACAGAGGCCTTCTGTAGGAAGCAGCTGTAATAACTGCAGCCCAAGGTCAGTGCTGTAGAGTAGGTCCATGTAACTCAGATCTAAATGTCGGTGGAAGACTGATACATCATCGGAAGTGTAAGCTCTGACTCCCGGGACTGATGCCACAGCTTGCCTTCCCTGCAGTGTAGACAAGTGGGCCTTGCCATCCCTGTGTGTGTATCTAGTCTCCAGAAGAAAGTCCTGACCAGCTGCTGTTTATTGTACAGATTTGATTTCCTCTGAGAAATTGTGTAGCTGCTGGCACACAAACTCTTTAAATTAACTACTTGTTTTCTTTTTTAAAATTCTCAGTTCTTTAAAAATAATTAATGTACACTTATGGAATTTTTCATGTTAACTTTTTAGATACTTCCAATTCCAGTAAATTAAGAAGTACTTGGGAGCTGGAGAGTTGCCTCAGCAGCTGCACAGTGCTCTTTGGTAGGACCTCAGTTCAGGTCCCAGCACCCATTGGGCAGCTCACAGCAGTCTCACCCCAGCTCCAAGAGAGCTAACCCTGCAGACACCTGCGGTCACACTTACACTGCCCAAAACCACACATTAAAACTAAAAGGAAACTTTAGGTATTTGGGTAGTTTTAATGTTTTATTTGATCAAGCTTATATAGCCACTTTTGGAAATCTTATAATCGTCTTTATTTTGTTAGTCATATTTTGACTTGTTGAGGCATAAATAAAAAAGAATGACTTTTTAAAGTGATTGTTTTGCCAGTCAGTGGTGGCACACACCTTTAATCCCAGCACTTAGGAGGCAGAGGCAGGTGGATTTCTGAGTTCGAGGCCAGCCTGGTCTACAGAGTGAGTTCCAGGACAGCCTGGGCTACACAGAGAAACCCTGTCTCGAAAAAGCAAAAAGAAAACAAACAAAAAACAAAAAAAAAAACCAAAGTGATTGCTTTTCGAACGCTGTGTCAGAGAAGAAAACATGTAATATGTAGAATGAGCTGGTATGGTGGAACTCTAAAAGCCCAGGCCTTGGGAGGCAGCAACAGGGGGACCAAGAATGTGACGTCACACGAGATATGATGAGCATGAGTCTAGCCAGGGGTGTGAACCCCTGTTTGTAAAATACATGTATTCATACGCACACAGAATGAATTCCTAGGATTGGAACGTTGCTTGCTTTTTCAGTGTGTATTGTTGATAGGGGGTGTATTTTTTTCTGTGTGCTGGCTGTCTTTATGTCAACTTGACATTAGGTTGGCTCACCTGGGGAGAAATCTTAATCATGAAAACACCTCCATAGAATTGGCCTGCAGGGAAGTCCATGGACCATCTTCTTGATAGATGACTGTGTGGGCCCACCAGTGTGGGCAGCACCACCTTGGGCAGGTGGTCTAGGACTGTGTAAGAAAATAAACTGAGCAAGTCAGGAGGAACAAGCCAGGAAGCAATGTTCTTCATGCCTCTGCATCAGCGCCTGCCTGGGGCGTTCTCGCAGTGACTTCTCTTGATGATGGACTGTCAGTGAAATAAACTTTTTGTCTTGTGTTTGCTCTTGGTCATGGTGTTTTATCACAGCAACAGAAAGGCTATTGAAGACAGCAGGGTCCGATAGAGGAACAGAGGAGGGAGGATGAAGGCACGTGTTTCACATTTCTATCATGTATATGCATTATACATGATATAAATTTAACCCTGAGTTAAAGTGGAGTGGGTTGGAGTGGATCAGTGATCCGTGGTTAAGAATACTTGTTCTCCAAATAACCTGAGTTTGGTTCCCAGCACCTACCGTGGGCAGGTCATATCACCCATGCCTCCAGCTCCATACCTTATGGCTTCTGTACATGTATGTACAGAAACATGCAGACACATGCACACACATCCATATAAATAACCTTATAAAGGAGAGCGAGTATTAGACTGTCTTGTACAGTGTTGTCTGGGTAGTCCAACAATGGCTGCCTTCACACACTGGAGCCACAGAGAACCCTGCACCTGCTCAGTCCACGAGGCTCAGTGCCTCAGGAACCCCAGCCTGTCTCTGAAAGTCTGGAGGGTCCCTGGAGAGCAATTCACCTTCAGTTCATGTTTGAAGCCCGATGGAGCAGCTACAGTCGCTGCAGCAGTGCAGACAGCTACAGGGTGAATGAACTCTCCAGCAAGGTGCAGAGGCAGAGGGGCAAATACGGCCTTTACCCAGGTCTCCTTCCATCTGCCTGAAGATGCTGCCTGTATCCAGTGCAGCCCCACTGCAAATAAGCCCACCCAGAAATCCCTTACAGCTGTGCCAGCCGCTTTCCTCTTACTGATTGTAATGTCGTGAAGTTGGCAATGATGATTTACCCTCATGGTGGTAAAGTACACCCCAAATCCACCTACCACCGTGTGTAAATACACTGACTATACTGCACATGGGTGTGGTCAAGTAGTACAGACAGACTGCACTGACTGTTCTTACTTCAAACCTGTCTTCCAGCTCCATAAATGCAGGCACTGGGTCCTGTTCCCGAGTGGGAGGTGGTTTGCCGTTGACAAAATCCGCTCTCTTTACGTTGCAGTGAGGTAATGAGAATGTCCTCCTCTTTTAGGTACGCTTCGTAAAGAATATAACCACCTGGAATGAGATGAAACCAGGCTTCTATCACGGACACATTTCTTACTTGGATTTTGCAAAGTAAGTAGCATCCAGAGTGATGTACTGAAGAATGTGTGGTTTGCCATCGGCCTATGAGCTCCTTAAAGTGTTAGGAATACACTGACAGGCCACTTTTAGATTTTAATATTCCTTCCAGTGCTTTACTGCCCTCTAGTGTTCATAAAATGACATGTCTCACGCTAATTACAATTCCCATTCTGTTAAGGATTTTGTGGCAGTTTCTCACCTGTGCTGGAGGCCAGCTGTTTACTCCATGAGTGTGCAGTCAGTCAGATGGTGGCTCACCAGGTCACTGACAGAGAAGAAACTCTCTCTCAGTTTTTGGTACCCTAATATGCTTCTCCTTGAACCACGTTGTATCTGCTTTGAAATTATGAGGTATAAGGGGAGACTTTTTAAAAACTAAGAATTCTCTTTTATGTTTGAATGTGATTGTGTAAGTCATGGTAATTTTGTCTTAATTCTCTTAAAGAAAAGTTCAAAAGACTGCAGAGTATAAGCAGTGTTCAGGCATTCTGTGGCCCCCTCGGGAGCCTTTGCTTCTTTAAGGAGTAATCAGAAGATTGGTTAAAAGGAATAGTCTAAACATACGATCCATTTGGGCGTTCTCTGTGGAACACATGGCCCCATTACAATAAAACCTCACATCCAAACGCTCTGCTAGTAATACTCCGGTAACTTCAGAGAGACAGCAGAGGATGACTGTCGACAGTAGGCATGTACAGCTCCGTGCTACCTTAGCAGCTGTGTCAGCTGTCAGTGAAGCGCTGTCTCGCTGTCAATTTCACGTTTTAGGTTGGAAAAGAAAAAGAACAGAACGGTATGCCATGGGGTCAGACAGTGGGAAATGCTAGCTTCTCTGGAAATCATATAATTAAAGAATTGCCCGACTTGCACACATAAAGTGATCCATCCTGATTCCCCTCCTAATCCCTAAGATCTTTTAGTAACATCATAACTTTCAAGTTAAATGTACACTTTTCTATAAATAATTCATATTGCAATATTGAAAGCATTTCATAGACTACTTTAAAATAAACTAAAAATTCTCTCTGCAGAGACCCTGAACCAGTTTCATAAACTTCATTCATATGCATATGTTCCCTGAGGGCTACATTATCCTTCACTGAGTGTTTGTTACCCTTTCACCTAAATGATTTGGTGCTTTCTCTCTCTCTCCATGGCCTGGTTTCTAATATTGTAGGTTTTCATTATTAAAATTGTATATGGAGTGCTTTTGCTCTGGGCACAGTCTTGTATGTAGAACAAGGCTCTGGTGTTTACTGAGGTACTTGGACTCAGATAAAGCGTTTTAAAAGAATAATCTTATTAAACACTGACAGCAACACTGAGTTTGAATATTTTCATAGTGGCTCATGTTACTGGAACTAAGTAATATATTGTAAAATTTTTTAATAAAATAACAATTTTAAATGAATAGCTAAATGGAATCAATTAGAGGAAATTGTTTGATGTGTTCTAATGTATATATTCAGGAAATATTGTAGATGTGACCATTCCTTTACTTGATAGTCATAGACTTCGTGATTGAGGAAGAAAGACAGAAACATCATTTACCAATTTTAAAGTACTCTACTCTTCAGAACATAGTATTGAACTGAGAATGGTGGCGTATACCTGTAGTTTAGTTACTAAAGAGACTGGTGGTGCAGGAGGATTACATATTTGAAGCCAGCCAAGACAACTGATTCCATCTCACATTTTAAAATGAGGGTCGAGGAAGACAGCTCCATGGGTAACATTGTTTGCATGAAGATCCAGGTTTGAATCCCTAGAAACCATGTAGAAGCCAGGTATGTAGCTCAGGCATTTACATATGATCCCAGCGCTCATGTGGAGATGTGGAGGACAGAGGCAGCAAGATCCCTGGAAGCTCACCAGCCAGTGAGCCTGCTGGCGGCAGCAGTGAAACCCTGTTTCAAAGGAGAGGGAAAGGATGGGCCAACAGGAAAAGTTGTCCTCTGACCACCATATACCGCAACACATGTACTCCTGTGTTCACATACATGGCACATGCACAACACAGGTAAATGATTTTTAGTGTCAAAACAAGTTTCTTGAGCTATGGCTCTGTAGTAGAATAATCACCTAGTCAGGATAGAAGCCCTGGGTTTACTCAGTCCCTGTCACTAACACACACACACACACACACACACACACACACACACACAAGCACTGTGTGTGTAGCTAAGGGCACTGGCTGCTCTTCAGAGGATTATGTTCTGCCCCCAGCATCCATGCTGTGGCTCACAGCCATTTGTAACTCAAGTACCAAGATTTGATGCACAGATATGGTGCACAGACATTCATTCAGACAAAACACCTTACACGTAAAATAAGTAAGGTCTCAAGAAAGGACAAAGAAGGAAAAGCAAGCTCCTGTGTTCTTAGCAGGAATAGTCTGTGCTTGTTGGAGTTCCTTAAGTTACTTGCCATTATAGAAAAAAATGGAAAATTCGTGGGGGGAAAGGTGTTTAATTTTTCAATTTTCAAAGTGAAGAGATTATGCTTTACTGAAAATTGAAACTATTTATAACTGTCCTATATAAGTGCTTCTGTCTGAATAGGAATCATCCTAACAGATCAATCATCCTTGATACCACAGCACCATCGGTGAGATCAGCAGATGCCAACATTCAGTATGAGCCATTTATGGCCAAGAGTTCCATACAGCTATGTACATCACGAGATATGATATATGACTGTTCCTGGCCAGACTTAAGCAGACTAAATGGCTGGCAAGATGGCTGCGCTGTGTGGCCCAGATGCCATTTTTACTGTGCCCATTTTCTGTTCTAACCCCTGCCTCCAGCCCTTTATGCCTATATAACCCTTCTGCAATTACAATAGTTCATTACTAGTTTCAGAATGAGTTCACAGATTATCTCATTGAAGTCTTGCTTCATACATAATAAATGCCACCCAGAGTGTTCACAGACAGCTGTACATTGGTTAGAAAGACGTTTGTAATGGGCTGTGTCCTGTTTGCTACCCCCTGGCCTATGTATCCAGACTAGGGAGACAAGGAAGATGCAAGCATTCTGGAGTGAGGTCTGGCTCACAGCTCATGGGAAGTAGAGGAGTTTCCCGGAGAGCCATCTAAGGAATGCCCTGTCTTTTTCCTCCTTTCAGCTTCTCACATGGCTGTCTCTTTAAGCTGAAATGGTTCCTGTGTATTGCCAGGGCCTCTCTGCTGTGTGCTCTCTCACAAAACAGTGTGAGTGGCTGGTTCCCACAGTCTGTCCGTCCCAGCTAATCAATACGGAACACCTGTGTGCTCGGCCGGCCGCTCACCCTTGTGATAAAATCCGAGACAGAAGCACAACAGCCAGAGCTTTCTTAGCCTCTACTACTCCTAGGTCATAGTGCTTGCTACACATCTACAACATTCCTGTTTCCTCTTTAATCGTTGCTGGTTTCTGAACGCTCAGAAGACACCATTCAGCTGGGGTGAGCATTAGCAAGACAAGCTCAGAGTTGATTTTACGTGAGCCCAGTAGCTCACAGGTACCGCAGGTGTCTGATGAAGGCTGATAGTACTGTACACAGTGGTCATCAGGGACACAAGAGTGTGTCACAAGCCTCTTCATTCTGAAACAGTAGCCACTCACCTCTGAAAAGAAGAATCATTGTACTGTACTGCTGGAATCTTCCAGTTATCTCACACATGACGCACACAAATGAATGCTTAGAGCCGTCTGCAAGGCCTGCACTCCCCAAGGCCTCCCGACCTCTTCTCGCCGCCTTTTACTCTCCCAATGCTGCAGCCACATTCTCCATTCTCCAAAAGCTGCCACTAGAAGCTTCCAGACCTTCATGCTTGGAGGTTCCCTCTTCCCAGAATGCTTTTCCCCACCACGTATCTACATGTGTCCCTTTCGTATGTAACATCAGTGATGGCTTGGTGGAAGATGGCTCTGAACTGTGTTCTCTGTCCCCGGCCCTGGTGCCCTCCTCTTGTTTCGCTGACACACTGTCAGTATTTAACCATCAGAGATGACTGATACTGATATGCACTGTGTCTGTCGCCAGGTACAGCTTCTGCCTAGAGTAGCATTGAAGAAAACAATCAATAAGGTGGCATCTAAGATGTAAGACGACCGAGGAGGAGCTGGGGCGGAGCTGGCGCCATTGTTAATTTTGTGGTGCTAGGAATGCAGTCTAGAGCCCTGGACAAGCTAGTCAAGCTACACCCCAAATCCCAGACGCTTAGGTTTGATTCCAGCAGTCAAGGAGGTTTATTTCAGGTTTCTGAAGAGCAGGTGATCTAACACATGGTGTTTTAGGGAAACAGTTGAGAATTGCCAGGTGAGTAGACAGGAGGCCCTGGACACCGGCGCATCGCTGTCTGCTGCCGGGCACTGCAGAGGTCAGGTCCAGTTTCCTTGGGATGTGATAGTGGTTTGTTCAGCTTCGCTGCACTGCCCTTGTGCACTGGGCAGGTCGTCCCCCTCCTCGTTTTGCAGGTAAAGACTGTTGCCTGGCAATGAGTCCTAAGGTGTGGTTCTCATAGGCTGTTTGTCTGGTTCTAGGTGGATTCTAAATGTAGTGTTGGTGCTGCTATCCCAGCTAATCGGTGTCTGCTATGTTCCTGCAGGGCTCGTGGATAGTACTAGCAGGCAGAATGCAGCTTTCTTAAGAAGGCTGGGCAGCTACCCTCATAACCTGGGTGTAGTACAGCAGCTTCAAGCGTGGGACACCTGTCGGTTTCTACAGATGAGATCGTAGGACCTCTGTGGTAGGCCTTGTCAAGTCGGGCCCAGCAAATGTGGCCCTATAGGAGGACACTCAGGGTTTCTAAAGGCTGCGTAGGGTTGGAGTTGTTCATGGTGTGCCCAGTGATGGGTGGGACATGTGTCAGTGTCTGAGTGCCACACAGGGCTCCCTGGGATCTGGTCTCGAGCCTCCCTGTGCCTTCTAAACATAGGCTGTGTGCCTGCGTAAATCCCTCAGTAAATAGAGGCATAAATATGTCACCGAGGCATAGTGTGACTGGGCAGGGCCTGCCAGGGCCACACACCTCCAAGGTCTCCACAGGCCTAGTCCCTCAGGACAGACTGCCTCCTTACTCCTTGAGGGTATCGGTAGGCATGCTCTGTTGTTTCTTGTATTATTTTTATTTGCGTTGTTGCATCCTAAATATGAATTATTTTCCAGTCTTCACATACTGTATTTTAGTTAATCTATTTTATTACTTCCGTATACCACCAATACTTTAGACTTGTGCATATAATTTCAGGGCATGCCTGAACTAATGAAACTGCTGACCTCATCACTGGAATTCTGCTGTTTCAGATTCGGTGTAAAGAAGAAACCGATCTATATTAATGTCATCAGGGACCCTATTGAGAGGCTGGTTTCCTACTATTACTTCCTGAGGTTTGGGGATGACTACAGACCAGGGCTGAGGAGACGGAAACAAGGGGACAAAAAGGTAACCCACATGCTCTCGATCACAAGTGCACTCTCTGTTTAATGCTGACATGTTGGAAGGAGCTCAAGGCTGTACAGAAGCAACGGTGACAAGTAGCACACATGACTCTGACTGCATGTCTGTCTTCTTACAGTCCTGCTGTACAAGGTACTGTTCTCAGTGCTGTGTCAAAGTACATGACAAAAGCAGCTTAGAGAGTGGAGGGATTGTTCAGTTCACAGTTTGAAACAGTCCATCGGGACGGGAGGCGTGTGGTAAGAAGGGCAGGGGAGGCAGGAGGCAGGACCCATGAGTGCTGGGCTCTCCTTGCTTCTTCCCCTTCTATTCAGGCCAGGGCACATGCGTGCATGCACACGCGCACATACAAGCAGTACGAGGTGCTTCTACACGTGTTGAGTTATACTTCCCTGGAAATGCATTCACAAACAAAACCAAAACTTTGTCCACATGGTGATTAAGTTGATAATCAGTACTGCCCATGACACCTGCCAACAACTTTCTAGGAGGTCATTATCAGTGAATCTGTTTCCGTGTAGGTTTTGGTTCTTAGTCTTGGGATGGCAGTCCACGTTTACTTGTAAGCATGAGTTTATGCAAAGTGTTTTGCTGAAGCAGCTTCAGGCAAGGTGAGAGTACCGGGCACAGCAAGCATCGTGAGTTCAGACTTGGGGTTCCTGCAGCATTCCTTCCTGAGTGTCACCAGAGTCCAGTTCTCAGAGCCACGGTGGGTTTGCTCTTTTGTAGTGGAATTCCTTCATAGCTTTCATTGCTGAAAAGGTGGGGCCGGAGAGGTAGCCACTCAAGGTGCTTCACAACCTAAGTCCATTTTCTGGTGCCTACACTGTGGAAGGACTGGCCTGGCTTCTTGCTGTGGTGCATATGCACGCACACACACACACTCAAATAAATAAATGTAAGTGTATTTAATTACCTAAGGCTTAGGAGACACAATCTAATTAGATGTTATACCCACCTGTCTGTAGCTGTCACCCCATGTGCTCAGGTTTCAGCCACTCGAAATGCAGATGTCCGTGGAACCTATGATTGCTTCATACTTGTTCTCTGTAAAACCCTGTTGTTTACATGCGAGCTTGAACTCTGACGTCACCTCTGCCGTGGCTGCTCCTAAGACCCTCCTCCCACCGGATCTCCACCAAAGCCTTTACTGTACGGCGTTCGGATTCTGTGTCTATATTATGTTCCCCAAATGTGGCAAGCTTCGTGGAGCACATATCTCATTCATCTTTGAAACCCTAGATTCTATCAGAGCCTAGTTTACTGATGACTTACCACGCAGCCAGGTGTGTGTGGCATGTCCGTATTAAAGTGCTGCAGAGTTGTGCTGGGTACCTACCAGCATAGTGTGACTGACAACCAGCGTTTTCTAAGTTAAATGTTAACTCTTTGTTGCATGAAAATAAAGGGCCCAGGACCTGAGAGGTGGCACAGTGCTTAAGAACACTTCCTGCCCTGTGGAGGGCCCCACTTTGGTTCCCCGAACTTGTCCTTCACAGCTCACAACTGTGTGTGATGTCAATTCCAGGGGATCTGATGTCTGCTTATGGCCTCGGCAAGCATGTGCATGTGTGTGCATGTGCCTGTTGTGCGGGTGAGAACACATGCATGTGTAAGCACACGCATACATATACACACAAATTTAAAGAAAATTAAGGACCCCAGAGAACTTTTGTTTATGTCGTCAACTGTTAGTGTTTACTGGTATGAGTAAATTCATAGTTTCCATAGATAATTTTGGCTTGCTTTATTTTCCCCATTTGCTTGTTTGTTTATTCATTCATTCATTTTTGAGAAGGGTGTGAGTGCCACAGGGCCCATGACAGGACAACTTGTTGGAGTTGGTTCTCTCACCATATAGGTTTCAGGGGTCGGACTTGGCTCCTCAGTCTTGGGGCCAGCACTTTTACCTGATGGCCATCTCACTAGCCAAAGACTTCCGTAAAGGTTCATTTTAGGACTCCGGCCCCTGGTAACACATAACGTCTGGTGTGAAGAATCCTCCTTCCTACGGAAGTGAAGAGAGTGCCATTCACTTGCACTTTTTTTGGTTAAGTGCATGAAGAAAGAACATCCAACTTTATGCAGGCATGTAATGGGAAAAGAGAGTTTTAATAGCCTTTCCCCGAAATTAAGGCTACTTTTTGATACTACAGTGAATTTGATAAATGGAAGGCAGGCGTGTAGAACACGAAGCCACAGTGAACTTTTACACATTAGACTTTATTAATGCATTTGATGTTGTACTTAGAATTGGTCTTTCAGACAGTTTTCAAACATCCTTCATTGTTCATACAGTGTTACACAGAGCTCCCAAGGGTTAATGCATTTAATTATACATTATGAAAAATTCACATTCATTAATCCCACCACAGACATTATCAGCAACAGCTATGAAAAATGCATTTTGGAAGTTTGTCCTTGCCACCGTAAGCCTCCAGCTCACCAGCCCCTATAAGCTGTTGCTGATAGCCTGTGTGGAGTGCTTAGCGGCAGATCTGTTACTGACAGGGATGGTCAATGTCGGGTAGACTGGAGGCTGCTTTAAGGAATATGGCCTCTACTTAGCATCTTCTGCATCTCAGATAAGAGCTTAACATTGTCTCCAAGTATGGCCAAAGCTACCAGAGACCAGCACAGCTCAAGGTGAGGACCATGCACTGATGGACACTCTCGGCTATTTCCTTTCAAGTGACACACCTGACTCCTTTTAAGAAAACATCACCAAACACCCAAGTCCCATTGATTCTCAGTTGTTCTTAGCAACTTTGTGTGGCTTCCAAACATCGGGCACTGCTAATTCTCACCGTTTATATTTCAACTCAGCATTGCCCTCATAGGCTACTGCAACCTCCAGCTTTTCCAACTACACCCAAATTCCTGAACTAACGACACTGAGACTTAGTATTTATGAGTCAGTGCCTAGCCATAAGCTTGGGAGTGTTCCCCACTAGCTCATAATTTTATTAACCCATGTATTCTGTTCTAGGATAGGCCCTGTCACATGGCTGGTTCATTTCCTCAGGTTCATGTGACCATCTCCATCATTGGGGTGAATTTCTTCCCACAGCCCACTCTATCTCGGAATCCTCTCTCTCTGTCAGAATTCCTACCTCCAATTTCCTGCCTAAGCTAATAGACCAGCAGCTTTCTACTTGGTGGGTGATACTTCCATACAGTACACAAGACATTCTCTCCACATTTCCCCCTTTAGTCTAATAAAAGTCTCTTATACTAATAAGCCATATGTAATAATAACAATTATGAAAACCAACTGGGAAGATTATATTCATTATGTCTAGTCCATATACATTTGGGAACCTTTCTTTTTTGAGTTCAGAGTTCTGTACTTTCAATTTCTATCAAAATTTGCATTATCAACCTAAAACATCTTCCTAGATTTAAAAAAATTTTCTTAAATCCTAAACAACTTAAACTTAATGGTAAAACTATAACCATCTAGTCTTCAGCTCTATCAGAGACCTGAGTTGGAATAAATATTCCCTGAGTGTACAGGAAGTACAACAAGCAGTTCCCCAAAGCTATAGGAATGACGAAGGAAGCTGGCTTCCTGGACAGTCCCCAAATTTCTCTGTGTCGTTGGACAATCATCTTCAGCTTTCTGGCCCAGAATGTCTGACAGAAGCTTTTGTGAATCAGGAAATATGAAGGACTGCTTGCCTGTCATAGCAGAGCTCAGCAGTCAACTTCCCCGTGTGGTGTTTGTCCAGTTGGGACAGCATACTGTCAGCTGTTGGCATACTGTTACTGTGCGCTGTGTAAAGACTATCCTTGCGCCGGGCAGTGGTGGCGCACGCCTTTAATCCCAGCACTTGGGAGGCAGAGACAAGTGGATTTCTGAGTTCGAGGCCAGCCTGGTCTACAGAGTGAGTTCCAGGACAGCCAGAGCTACACAGAGAAACCTGTGGGGGGGGGGACAAAAAACAAAACAAACAAACAAAAAAGACTATCCTTGTATTATTCAAATGCTGATTGCTCTGTCCCTGTATGTGCTTGTAATCCAGACATAGCCTTGTAATGCTTATTCTAAGAATCTCCTGCCTCAGAGTTGTGTAAACAGTGCTACCCATTTATTCTCTGATTTGTTCATTTAAAGCCGATCAGCCAGTTACTGAGCAGGGGCGAGAACAGGACTGGACCTCAGATTCTGGGGGTGGCGGGCGGGGGGGGGATGGGAAGAGAGAAAACAGAAGATGATTCACCACATGGAGACGGTCTGGGAGACACCATGAGAACATATGTGGAGCAGAGAGAGCCAGATCAATACTAAAATGCAAGTATCTCAAAGATTTTGGCTGGGAGGTAGCCAGATTAATTTAGATGATTAAAATAGATTAGTAACACTGCTCAGTTATTGTTCTTGGAAGCTTTATTAAATAAATCTAGTAGTTTCTATCTTATTTATTTGGGAGCTAGTAGGATAAAGGAAAAATTATTACTTATAAAATTGCTCTAACAGTCTGCAGTTGAAGCAAGTGGCTTTTTGCCATTATGAAGCAGACTCTATCTGGAGGTCTTCAATGTTCATCTTCTTCTTTGAAGTGGAATGGAGTCCTTCCAGGAGCTAACATGACTAGTTATCAAAAATGGCCTTTTATTAATAAAACATCTTTAAATGTCGAATTCTGTAGATCTCTGGGGCTTTTGAAGACCATCTGTCTGTCTGTTATATATCTTAATAGGCAAACATTGCTTGTTTCTAGCTATTTACTGTTCGTTCAACCTTGGGAATATATTTCTATAATAAAAACTGGACTAATGTCTAACATGAGCATAAGTTTGATTAATTATTTGCTTGCATTTCTTAATATTTTAAATAGCTTTCAAAAGGACTAGAACTTAACATTGTATTTTAAAGAATTACATAGAATTACAGTACCTTAAAAAGTGTTTATGCATAGTATGTTGTAACCAAATATGACCTTAATTTTGTATCAGTATACAAAGATCTATACCAATGCAGG